AAGATATTACCAAGACACTGTTTGGATAATAAGTGTATTTTTTATTATAATGCACTTTTCTTATCCTATCTTTTCTCAGCTTAGCTTGTCTTCGTCTATCTTATCTTATCTAATTGGCTTATCTCTATATTAATGCTTAAACAATATCTCTACTACTTGACTCCCGCTCGAAGTGGGGCCTCCTCCTCGTGGCTCCTGCTTCCTCCCGTTCCTTGGGGGAGCCCTTTGGCCACAGTAATTTCCTTATGCTTCATTGTGGGACAGCTGATTGGTAGTGTGATTGGTATCAGTCTCTTTTTCAAACTGGCCAGCCTTATCAGAATTCTGTTTTAAGACAACGAACGACTGTTGATTTAGCACACATTATACTCAAATTCAAGCCTTCTACTAAGATATTTTAATACTGGGCTTTACCTTTGGCATGTCCCACACCCTCGGTGTAGAATGGGGCAGGTCTGTATCATCTATCCTCTTCACCACGTGTTTCATCATCATAACTTTCTCCATCTTCTTCTAAAATAGTGTCAGTTTCCTTAGTTATTTAAACTTTGATTTTAATCTTGATTAATTTCTTTGCTCCCCATTTTTTAAGATGTTCATTAGAGATCTATCTACATGTGCTTCAAAAGTAAACAAGATATGTTGTCTCACTCACCGTAACAGACCATAAAATCCTATACAGGTTGTAAGTCGATTTGGTTGTAAGTCGACCATTTTTTAATCTATACATGCAAAAATGATCATATGCAGGGGTGCACATAACTGGTACGCAACTACACATTTACCCGTATAAAGTGATACACGCTGTAATTTGGTGTCGTAGCAGCGCAAATACATATTTATTTTAAGGCATTCGCTCTTTTATGACAAGAAATTACTGTGCATTTTACTCTTTATACCGTTAAAGAAGTACAAATTAGCCACATAAAGGTTAAAATGCACAGTAATTTCGTCATAACAGTGCGAATGCACATAAAATATAAATACTCGTTTGCGCTGTTACAAGAAATTGCAGCGCATACCGCTTTACCAGTTACGTGAATCGATCCTGATCATATGTATAGTGTACTATATAATAAAATTAAATAATCTTTAAGTCATATTGTTTGTTTTTTCTTAGTTCAATGCTGCCGGCAGAGGCGGAAACTGTCTTAAGCTTGGTGCATGATCGCGCTGTTACAATCAGAGTTGATTATTATATGATTAGCTCTTTATTTTATTATATTCCCTCGTTTTGAAACCTAACAGTGAATAATAGCAGTAAAGATTTCACATAAATAATATTCAGATAGTATATTGTACACAAAAGTGGAATATTGCACATGTTTGTTAGGCTATTGCACTAAAAGAGTTATTTGACTACCTAAGAGGAAGACACAGAATGAGAGTGCGGTTGTAGTCCTCTGATGTGTCTGATTGCCTCTTTGGAGTGCTAACTGTACAGGTAATGTCCTTGGGGGGAGTGGGGGGCTGTATTTCTTACCACCTTAATGTCCTTAACCGTCAGTCTGACTGTGGGTGGGAAAAAGCTGTTGTACAATCGTGCTGTAGGTGGTGATGCTCTCTGGTCTGTGGTGTCTTAGACTGTATCCTAAGTTCTTCCTCCTAAACAGGCAGAATGCTGGGTGATGTTGATCACTGAGTATGCCCTGAGTATACCCTGAGTATGTCCTGGGCTTTCCTCCTACAGCGCTGTGTATATAATGTGTCCAAAGAGGGGAGGTTGGAGCGTATGATCCTCTCTGCAGTTTTTACAACTCGTCGAAGAGATTTCCTCTCAGCCTGCGTGGTATTTCCAAACCACACAGTGATGCCGCTGGTAAGGATACTTTCAACGAGTCCTCTATAGGCCTGTGTGAGGGGCTGACGTCCGAGTCCTCTATAGGCCTGTGTGAGGGGCTGACGTCCGAGTCCTC